CTCTCTCTCTCTCTCTCTCTCTCTCTCTCTCTCACAGAGACTGTCTCTCTCTCTCTCTCTCTCTCTCTCTCTCTCTCAGCTTCTATGCAGACTTCGGTCCCCTTAACTTGGCCATGTTTTATCGCTTCTGTTGCAAGCTGACAAAGAAGCTCAAGGTAAAGTAAACTGCAGCAATTAATTACACTTCCTGGAACAGAGAATGGAAAGAAAGGCGTGGGTCAATCAATATCTATTTATACGTGCAGTAAGGGGGAGAAAGTAAAGCAGCTTTTTTTTGTTGTTGGTTGTTTCTACATGTCAGTTAGGTGTTTTACTGTTAGATTTACGTGTCTGATGTTGCCATTTTGTCAAAATGTGATAGGTTGTTCCTCGTTTTTTGAGGCAGTTTGTCTGTATTTGTGTGTGTTAGGCCTTTCAGATAATTTATCTTCGCAAATTTGTATGAGAAAATATTTTTGGTGATTGTTCAGCTTTGCTCCAAGTTTGCTCTTAATTTTGCCATAACACCACCAACTAATATAGTCAGCTTTTTAAGATAAATTAAATCTCCCAACTTCATTAGGAAAGATCTTTAKGTGTAAAATAATTGTTTAGTAGTGTCCTAAAGTTTTTGTGCTGTGTCACGCTAAGGATGGGAATTACACAACTCTTTGTTTTAAGTCAAACAAAGTTTCTGTTTTCATGTTTTTGCACAGTCCRTTAGTCTCTCACGGAAGAAGATCATTTTTTATACCTGTGGGGATCAGAAAAAACAAGCCAATGCCGCCTATCTAATAGGCTCATATGCAGTAAGTTGTGCACAAACGTGCTTACATTCTTTTATATTTCTTGTGAAAGTTTATGATTATAAACATGGCGGGTGTCTAATATCAAACTGGCATGTAATACAAGATGGAACTGACTGATAAGACCTTTGTTTTTGGAAGGTAATGCATCTTAATATGACGCCAGAAGAAGCCTACGGTCTGTTGGTATCGAGGAATTCCATATATATTCCATTCAGGTAATGAGACACCTTCATAGTACGAAGTTGATATGAAAACACTGCTGCTCTTTTATGAAAATACACTGTTTTTGCATCCATTGAATGATCGTTGTTGCTTTTCAATTTACCTGCTAAAAGGGCATTTTTCTTGTAAAATCCCCCCTCTCTGCTTGAGAGCATTTATTGGAGAGCTCGAAAACTCTACTTATTCCAAAAAAACTCAAACTAATAAAATGCACAACCTCGAGAATTTCATCTAACATGTCATTGAGCGATTCGCAGGGAAAGAAATGTGTCGCACTCCAGCGGGGTGCTTTAACAACCTACGTCACTTCAACATGCTGCTCAGTATTGTCTAAGAAAGATCTGTAACAGCTATTTGTGGCTGAACAGCAGACAAAAAAAAAAAAGAATTCAGAAAATTGCCAGTATTCACTTTGGTTTGTGTTGGTGTGAGCTCTCAGGGTCTTTACAGGATGCTGTGTCATTCTGTAATAATGTGCATTCAGGGATGTGGAGTACTGCTGAGGGGGCAGACCTGGACTTAGAACAAAGGTGGAAGTGGAACCGACTCACTCCGCCTCTTGCTGTTCTGAAAAAGAGATGTCGATTTGTGCTTCAGAGAGAAGTTGTTGTGCTTTTTTTATTTAGCACTTGGAATAAACACGTCATTGAAAAGTATTACTGCTATTTTAGATCACAGAACTGTAAAAAATAAAAAAATAAAAAATATATCATTAAATGATGTCAGTTTATAAACAAAGGGCATTCTTGTGTTAATTAGCAATTTTTTGGCCCCCTATAATGTCCTATAAAACAATCAAACATTAAATATTGCAGTGTCATTGAAGCACAAAAAAGAAAGAAGGATTAGGAATTAAGTGCGCTTTTAAAAACTGATTTTTTTAAAGATAAATGATGTTAAAGCAAGGGTTCCCAAACAGCATTAGCCCCGCAAACCCACAAACAATTGTAATC